CATCTTGTATATACACTTTTCTAATTTGGGGAGGGGAAGAGAAAAAACAAAATGCTTAAGTAGGGATACAGGTTGATGGTGTCATTCTTTCTGATGGATGCATAGTAACAACAACCACCCGATTAATAAGTGGACTAAAGTCTTAAAGACTTCTCTGAAGAGGAAATAAGAACGGCCAATAGACACATGAAGAAATGCTCAACTTCTCTGGCCATAAAAGAAATGCAAATCAAAACAACATTGAGATTCCACCTTACCCCAGTTAGAATGGCTATAATCAAGAAATTTAGCTGGGCGCTAGTGGCTCATGCCTGTAATCCTAGTCACCCAGGATGCTAAGATCTGAGGATCATGGTTCAAAGCCAGCCTGGACAGGAAAGTCCATGAGACTCACATCTCTAATAAACCACCAGAAAACCAGAAGTGGCACTGTGGCTCAAATGGTAGAGCACTAGTCTTGAGCGAATAGTGCAGGGACAGTGTCCAAGCCCAGAGTTCAAGCCCCATGACCGAACAATAAAAAAAGAAAGAAATCTAATAACAACAGATGCTGGAGGGGATGTGTCCAAAAGGGAACTCTACTGCATTTTTGGTGGGAGTGTAAATTTGTTTAACCACTCTGGAAAGCAGTATGTAGGTTCCTCAAAAGACTACATATAGAGAACTCCTAGGACCTAGGAATCCCACTTTTGGGCATTTACCAAAATGATCACAAACAAGCCCATATTAAAGCTACCAGCACAAGTCTGTTTATCATAGCATTATTCACCATAGCTAAGATATGGAACCAACCCAGATGCCCCTCAGTAGATGAATGGATCAAGAAAATGTGGTATATTATTATATATTATATATATTTATATTACATATTTATACTTATATATATTTAGATATATAAATATATAGTCTATTATTCTATACAACAAAATATTGTTATTTTATACAACAAAATATTGAAATGCATGATTTTAGACTTTGGTTTTGGGATGAGCTCCCAAATCCAGTTTTCACGAGAGCCAGTGGGCCAAGGGTTTTTCCCATAAGCCTTTGTTTCTTTGGCTACGAAGTAGAGAGAATGAACTCACATGCGGAGGAAGGAATGAAGACCATGGGAGCCAAGTCCTGAGCACAGTGCTTGGGCTAGAGGCAGTGGTAATGATAAAAGAATCTCTCATCCTTTATAATTAATGCGCAATAATGAAATCTAACTGTCATTAGGTCAAGTCAACACAAAGTAATTTCTCTGTTTTCCTCCTAATCATCTAGAGTGTCTCTTGAGAGATTAATTCTTTTATTTACAAAATGGGAAATGTATCCATTTGGAAACCGGGCTGGCTATATCCAAACTGGGCAATCACCATGGTAACTTTAGTTTGGGGAATACCAATGTGTGACATGAATGGGTGGATGCAATCTTCTGTGATGGGGAGATCTGGCTCTCCCCCATCTCCCAAACCATCCAGAAACCTTCAAATGTCGTCTTTCCTAAATTTAAGTAGGTAATTTGTCAAGGGAAGGGATGACATTATCCAAAAAGAAATGCACTCATTACCTGACATGTAACTATAATCCCTTTATAATAACAATAACCATAAGTATATAGGAGTGACTCCTAAAATTGGACTAGCTGATATCTATCACTTGTTAACAGGGAGCTCCATACAAGTTCTCAATAGATATACACAGACTTGGAGATCTGCACACTATGGTGGAAAAATTGGTGTGGAGTCTGAGGAAGTTGCTAAGAACCATTAAAGGGCTGAGAACTTTATAGTTCCTCCTGTGTCAGAGGAAAGCTATCACTCTTTCTGTTTCAAACTTTTCTGAACTGGGACAGAGGGAGAAGGTTTTGCCTGCCATAGTCCCTTGATCTAGGTAGCCAGAAAGGAAGACTGCCCTGGCAGTGTGGAGTGGGTAAGATCCAAGCTTTGAGTCAGCTCAGCCTAGATTCCAACCTTAGATGCATGTCATGTGGGCACTTTGACTTTTGACAGCTTCTTAGAAAGCATCACTAGCCACTGGGTTGTCATGAAAACTAGCGGCTCCAGGAAGCCACGACTCCAGGCAAACCTAGGAAGGCCCAGAGATCAAGGCTTTGCCAGGAAGCAGTGATGAATGAATGAATGAATGAACAAATGAATGAGTCCATCAACTATTTAATCAACTTGAACTGTGAAAGGTCAGCCCTGGTATGTGTTTGTAGCCCAGCCCAAGAGTAAAGATACCCAGCCTATCTGTCATAGCATGACCGTGTACTCTGGCAAAAGAAGGGGTACATGCAGATCCAAAGATGTCCTCAGAAGACACAGCTCTAACACCAGCCTGCCCTCCCACAGTACGCCACCTGCAGGTGGCTTTTCAAATGTAAGGAAGCCATTCTCTGGAGAGTTCTTACTCAAGTGCCTACAGTGTGTCTCCTGCACCAGCCCATAGAGGGAGGGGCATCATGGGGGCTCAGTGTGCAACACAGAAGCCTGGAATTTCTAGATAAAGTGAACAAAATGTATGAGGACAGACTTAGAGACAAAATGAGCATGGTAACTTTATCAGTAGAGCACTTGGTGCTATGGCATATAACCTAGATTAAATGCATGATTGTTCTTCATAACCTGGACTCCACTGACACAACAGTATGTAGCTTAGACTAAGTTAATGTACACCAACCTCCAAGAGCTCCCTCAGTGTGCCCATGCTTCTGACCTGCCCAGCCCTCCAAGAGATTCTGCCTAGAAGAGTTTATGCTGGCAACACTGAAATCAACAGAGTGGTAAGGAAACGGTACATAGATGGGAGGCAGGGCCTGCTCTCCTCCTTGATACTGGAGATTGGGCCAAGATAGTCAAGGCTCTCCAGGAACTCTAAGTGGAGAAAGAACAGCCCAAGGGCTCTGAGTTCAAGGAATTATGGGAGAAGAAACTATGCTCTTTAATTAGGGAGCTCCACAGAAAATCTTCTGCTTTCTTCTATGGGCTTTTGGAAGATATACCTCCTTCCTGTACATCCAGATCTCAATCAAACTGCCCTCCCCCACCTACCCATGCCCTGTTACCTGTGTCTCCTTTGCTTCCTTTCAAGCCTGTAGCTCCTGGACTCCCGGGGAGTCCAGGTGGTCCTACAACAGACACCACAGAAGCATAAGCGCTAGATTGGACAGCTGTTGGAACACCCCACCCCCCAAAAGGATGCAGGACCTCACCTCTTGGTCCAATAAAGCCAGTGCTGCCAGGCTCACCCTTGGCACCCAAGGGTCCCATTGCACCAGGGGTACCTGGAACACCTGGTACTCCAGGTAATCCTGAAAGTTAAATGGAGATGTCAGGGCTGGAGGTGGGCAGCAGGGCTTCCCAGTCCCATTCCATACTCTTGTTCTTAGCAGGGAGTACTGTGTCTCCTAGCACCCTCTGGGCACCTCTGTACCTTTCACACAAACTGGCTCCATTCGTGGGGTCAGTGAAATGTGGTACTGTGTATAGATTAGGGACTGTTGAATGTCCATCTTCATACCCTGTTCCCAGTTTGCAAAGTGGGGAGGAGGTCTAAGGGGAGGTCTACCAAGGTCCACCCTTGGCTGGCCACCCTGTGTCTTCTAGGAGGGGCTGCTCTAGTACCAATAGTTCATGCCTGCAATCCTAGCTACTCAGAAGGCTAAAATCTGAAGTTGAGAACTGAGATTTGTTTTTGTTTTGGGGGGGAGGAGTCCGGTCGTGGGGCCTGAACTCTGCGCCTGTGTGCTGTCTCTCAGCTCTTCAGCTCAAGGCTGGCACTCTACCACATGAGCCACAGCACCACTTCCGGCTTTTTTTCTTTTTGCTTATGTGGTGCTGAGGAATCGAACCCAGGGTCTCAGGCATGCAAGGCAAGCGCTCTACCACTGAGCCACCTTCCCAGCCCGAGAATTGAGATTTGAAGCCAGCCCAGGGAGAAACACCCACAAGACTCTTTTCTCCAATTAATCAGCAAAACAAAAACAACAACAAACAAAACAAAGCAAAACTGCACGTGGAGGTGTGGCTGAAGTAGTAAAGCTCCAGCCTTGAGTGAAAAACCTAAGGGAGAGCTGGAGGCCCTGAGTTCGAGCCCCAGCACTTGTGCATGTGCGCATGTGCATGTGTGTGTGCATACACACACAATGGTGAAGTCAGGTGTCCCAATTACTCTTGCCAAGGACAGTAGCCACTGGAATGATGCCTAGACTCCCTCTGTTCTTACCCCGATCACCTTTGGCTCCAGGAAATCCAGTCAAACCTACAATGAAGAAGGACTGTTAGCAATGTTTTCTTTGGGCTCAGCCTGCCTGAGAAAAGGGGCATGTCCACAGGTGAGTGGTTCCAATGGCATGGTCTCTTACCTGCTGGGCCAGGCATCCCCGAGTCACCTTTACTCCCCTGGACTCCAGGGGGACCCATCACCCCTGCATCTCCCTTCATGCCTCTGTCCCCTTTGCTTCCTGAAAAATTATAAACAAAACAAAACAAAACAAAACGGGGAGTCAGAGTCAGGCATGGGAGCGGGACCACCCAGCTGGGGGACCCACTCCATTAGACATTTTGCTTTGTACCCACTCAATTAGACATTTTGCTTTGTACCCAAATTCTAACTAAGACTCCTTGAGCTCCTATTTGGTGCCCGGAGGTGTCAAATCCAAGCCCTGCCTTCCTGAAGACAAGAAATAAACTCAGAACAAACTAGCCAGGCAACAAGGCATGAATGACGGTCAGTAGAAGGTCTTGTAGCCAGGCTCCCAGGACCCCAGTCAATGTCCTGGTGCTTTCAGGCAAGACTACAGCCCAGCACTTTTTGGCTCATTTTATTGGCAACAGTCTGTGAATTATTTTTCAAAGACTTCCAACGTGAAATCTGAGTATTCTAGAAAGCTAATCCCAAATGCTAAGACTAGCAAAGGGCATTGGTGTGGAGCAAAACACTGCAGCTGTGACATACTTCTGCCAGAGGTTTAGACACAGTCTTCCCTGGCACTCACAATCTCAAATTTTCCATTTGTCATCAGCATTCTGGGCTCATCTAGCCTGTCCTCTTCTGAGTCCTCTGTTGCTCCATCCTTCCCTCCCACTAGTGCCTGGTGCATAGTAATGGAGGAAGCTCCACCAGGAACTGGCTGGCTCTGCTCTGCCCCCCAAGGTGTAGGATGGTTGAGGAATGGGCTTCGAGGCTCTCTCTGCCACCCATGCAGGATAGGCTCAGAAGCACTCCTCACCCTGAGCCTTAGGTATTTAGTGAGTTGTCAGCTGGGGGTAAGGGTTCCTCAGGCCTGGGGACAGCCAGTGTAGTATATAGGGTGAAAGTCTTTACCCCGAAGCTACCCTTTCGATTCTCAAATAGATAAGTTGAGATAGAACTGTGTTAAAGGAATTTATGGCTCTATTCTATTATTCTGACAAAATGGTTCCAGAGAGGGTATCAGCATGATGCCAGCCTTCTTTGCAGTGAATTAAGAACAGGGACACAGGGACCAAAGAAGAAAGAAAGCCAGGTTTTCTGGGCCAGTGTTTTGGGTGAAGTTGGTGTGGGGCTTGGGAGTCAGGCTCCTTAAATGGTTGGATTCTCTTGATGGGAGACCACATAGTAAGAAGGAATATTCTACCTATGTGAAGGCAGAGCTGGAGTGGAGTAGATTTCTGGAATTCTATATACAGGCAGTTGCTGCTGTTAATCTTGAGCTGGAGGAATGAAAATAGCTCGAAGGGCTTGGAAATTCTCATTCCCAAGAAATGTTCAATGTTTGTGATGATGGATAACCTAAATACCTTGAGTTACTCATTACATAATGCGTGTGTCTACTAAAATATCATACTGCACTCCATAAACATGCATGACATCTCTCTACTAAAATTAATCAACTTGAGCTGGGTGTTAGTGATTCACACCTGTAATCCTAGCTACTCAGAAGCCTGGGATCTGAGGATTGCACTTTGAAGCTAGTCTGGGTAGGAAAAAAACATGAGATTCTTATTCCCAATTAACCAGAAAAAAAGACAGACATGGAGGGGTGGCTCAAGTGGTAGAACATCATCCTTGAGCCTAGGTCATAAGTTCAAGCCTCAGTACTACCTAGCTACCTACACACACACACACACACACACACACACACTTTCATAAAGATCTATTTTCACTAATATTCAATGTATCTATGTGAAAACAAAACTAGGAAAACTGAAGGAATGAGTGGTTTGGGAGAGAGAGGGTGGTCATGATGGAAGCTGACACTGATAAACATGCATTGCACTCCTAAACTGACATGTTGAGTTGAAACTCCTTTGCACAACTAACTACAGGCTCCTGCCTATAATTCCAGCTACTCAGGAGGCTGAGACCTCAGGATTGAGGGTTAAAGCTAGCCTGGGCAGAAGTCTATAAGACTCTGATTTCCAGTTAAGCACCAGCAAAAGCTGGAAGCGGAGCATGTGTAGCTCAAGTGGTAGAGTACTAGCCTTAAACCAAAAAGTTCAGGGATAGTGCCCAGGCTTTGAGTTCAAGCCCTAGGACTGGCACACACACACACACACACACATACACACACACACACACACACCATAATAATAAAATGATAACAAGAAAAACAATAATAATAACTGTTAAATTGAAGAAAATCAAATTGAAAAAGAGATCCCATTGCTACTAAGCATAGGAAAGGCCATCATTGGCCGCTGAGGATGTCTACTTGGAGGGCCCAGAGACTCACAGGCTACTGTGGAAAACCTTTTGCTTTTCTGCCAAGAGCCACTTGGGTATGTACAGCATCACTCCAGGACCATCTATAATTAACATCACAGGTAGATGTCCAGCTGGTGACTGTCAAGGATCACATGATTTTCAGGCCATACGCACCCGCAGGCCTGATGCCCCTCTCTCTGTGAGGACTGGGCACTCACCTCCTGGGGTGGTCTGAGGGTGCCTATTGATCAGTACCAGTAGGGTGAAGTTACAGCAGCTGTTCCCCTGCTGCCTGTGCTTCCTTCAGAATGACCTGGCCTGCTCCAGTATGGCGATAGCTCTCACCCTTGGTCAGGGTCAGCAGGACCTTTGCCAAGCAGGGAAGCATCACAAGGAGAGCGAGGACCAGCTCCCAGGCAACCCAGGAATCAAAGCTATTTCTGACGCCAGAACTGTCTGCTCATGGCTGAGAGGTGGCGTGGAGGAAATTAGATTATCACCTGAACCTCACTGTGGTGGCATTTTCCGTGGATAAGGGGGAGATCCAGGTCAACTCCAGCATCATGGGGGAAGGGGGTGACTCACTGCTCAACCCTGTTGCTCCTTAAGGAAGATAGAGTCACAATAGAAGAGGGAAGTTGGAGAGAGGTGGTCTGGGCTGGAGCCCTGCTTTCTGACTCTAGGAAGAGCTGTTTCCTCTCCTCTCCCGGCCCACTGTGCTTCCAGGCCTGAGTCTGGACCAGAGGAAGAGAGGCTGGAGGGCCAAGTATTGGCTCCTCCTGTGATGCTGCTGGGGTCACCTTGAGAAAGTGGGGTCTCCCTTTCTATCTACTGCAAGAGTGGCAGAGAGCCAGCTTTGGTGGATTCAAAGCGGCCTGCCTGATAGGAGGATCCCACTTCAGCCTGGCCAAGGAGGATTCTGGGACCCCTCCATCTGCCCACTGAGAATGGGGCTTGCCTGAGTGCTAAGTCATTCTTGCTTCCTTGCCTCACTTCAATTTGGTCCTCCTTAAACTAGCTCACTAGTCCTTATTCTTGATCCAGGCATGATCTAGAGCAAATCATTTCTCTCTCTCAAGTGTCTTTCAAACATTCAAGGTCTCTGATCCGGAAGGCCAGCATTCCTGGTTACAATGACTCTTTTCAGTATGGTGTTGCACCATCAACACACCATATATTCCATGCAGTTACTCCCCAGTATAGATGAGCAACTTTAGGCTCAGCGAGGTTAAGTCATTTGCCAAGTTCACCTAGCTAGTGAGCCTTATTAGACCCAGATCTGTCTGACCTTAGGTCTGAAGTCTTTTGCCTTGCTATCTTGAAGAATCACTAAATCTATTACCTATAAAAGTTTTCATTTATTTACCATGCGGCAGACAGTTTGAAACATCTCTAGCCCTTACAACTGTCCTGCAAAGTATATATCATTTAATAGCTATTGCTGGAATTGAGTTGAAGAACTTAAAGCTTGGAAAGGTGAAGGAATATGCCAGACTTTCAAGGTCAGAATCATCTGGGCATTCAGAACAGACTTGTGGGCCCAACTTGCACCTCAAGCAAACACTCCAATACTTCTTAGACATGGCACACAGCCCTAGAGCCCGGGTCTCAGACAGCATCTGTGGTGGAGGAGGGCCTTGGCTGCCTGGGTCCCCTACTGGAATGAGACTCCTTGCCCTTTTCTCCTCTTTCTCTCTGAGGTCTGAGCAGAGCCTGAGTCTCCTGCTGGTCATGGGGTGTGCCAGGAGTGGAGCTATTCTCCCTCATACTACAGTTCTACCTCCTCACCAGGAAGGATGGAGACATGCTTGCTTCCCTGGGGTGTCTATAGGTGGAGTCTAGGCCTGGGGCCAGGTGCCAGCCCCTCCAGCCTCCGCATGTATTAGGACAGTTCCCATGAGCACTCACCTGGGAGCCCCATGTCACCTTTGACTCCCTGAGCTCCAGCTTCTCCCTTGGAGCCCACGAGACCCCTGTCGCCTTTGCTGCCCTTCTCGCCTTGGAGTCCCTGGGTGCCTGAAAAGAGAAAGTGGTTGAGGTGAGCTTTTACCATCCCCCCCTGGGAGAGGGGAGGTTGGAGGGGAGGGAGGGGCCCCTCAGGGGATGTATTGGTACATCTCCTCCATGGTGATGATGAGGTAGGCTGAAGATTCAGAAGAGGACAGTGGGAAGAGCGAGGGCCTGGTGGTGGTGGTGGTGGTGGGAAATGGAGAGAACACTCAGACCATGCACCTCAGCAGGGGTGCAAAAGTTACCTGCAGCTCCTTGCTTCCCTGGTGCACCCATGGGTCCTTGGGGGCCTGTGGAGAAGGAAGGAAGTGTCACTGTGGTTTGGGCTTCTCCCTGAGATGAAAGCCCCACACCCATGCATGCACACGTCCAGGCATGTGTTCACACACATCATTGTGTACATACTTGCATGCACGCACAAATGCATGAATGAGCACATATAGCCGTGTTCCTGGTGGTTCCAGGCAGTTTGCACTCCAGCAAACTCCTAGGAACACATCCCAAACATGGCCAAAGAGGAAAGGCCTCAGAGCAAGGCAAGTAGGTTTGAATCCACAGGTCTGCCACCTGCAGATGGGATGACTTTGGAAAGTCTCCTACACCTCGATTCTCTCATCTGTGAGACGGGGCTGTGAGGACAGGTTCTTTGCAGGGATGTAGTAGTGCTCCAGTGACCAGGATGAAAGTGGAATTGAGAAACGCTAGTTCCCTCCAGGGTGGCAGAGAAGTGCCAGGCTAGCATACCAGGCATGGTCTGGAGCTGCTGTTGTCTGGATGGGAGAGGATGAGAGCTCCATGGAGAGCTGGGCACTGAATGTGTGAAGGGAAACCGAGGCATCCAGGTGGGAGAGTGACAAAGGAGACAAGGCATGGGTGAAGGAAGCATTGGGGCTGAGTTTTTCCAGCTTTTCCTGATGAGCTCAGGGGAGCTCAGGGCTCACCCTCCGATGGCTCCACTGCAGTCACTACTGCCTGTCTTGGTCTCCTGAGGAGCAAGAGACACTCTAGGCTGGGTCTCCTTTAATAACTGGACCATCTTTTCAGTTGACCTCCTTGGCTGCAGCCTGGATTGCTCTGGAAGCCCTGGTCCCTTTCTCTCTAGGAGGAAATTGTAGAGCAGCCTTCCCTGCCCTAGTTCCCACAGGCTGAGTGTGAGTGCAGTGCATGTGTGTGTGTGAGAGAGAGAGAGAGAGAGAATGCAAGCATCTACAAGGATTGTGCACACATGCATGAATATATGAGTGTGTATGTGTGAGTATAAAAATGCAAGCATATAGCTCTGCAAGTATGTGTGAAATGAACATGTGATCATGTGTATGGATGTATTTGTGCAAGCGACTGTGTGAGTGTATGAAGCCACATGGTTTTTCAAGTGGGGTGCGTGTGTGTGTGTGTGTGTGTGTGTGTGTAGATAGCTGCGTGTGTGCTTCACCACAACCTTTCTTTCCTTTTCCTGTTGTTTCTTGTTTCTCTTTCCCCAGGAAAGCCCCTGCTAGATGTTCTTTGGATTCCATGTATTAAATTCCTTCCAAAAGTCCATTCCTGGAAGTCAATTTTGCCACTAACTAGTTTCCCCGGTATTTCCCTTCTGCCTCCTCAGCCTGGAAGCTTAGTGTGGTGATTTGTTTGCCTCTTTTCCTTATAAATCCACTGCCTCTGCTCCTGTTAAGGATGTCTTCCTGACTGTCTTTTTCTGAGGCTCAGCTCTGGGGAACTTGGTGTGAGGTGTGAGAACAGAGTGGACTGGGACTACTGCTCTCAGGTTTGGGTTTTCTTGACCAAACCATGGCTGGCCATGCGTATGATGACTGAGCATTCCTAGTCTATGCCTGATAAATGGAACCTAGTACACTGGTAGTAATGAATCACGGGCTTTGAGTCATAATCTGGAAGTCAGGTATAGGCCAGGCATGGCTGCCCAGCTCACAGAGCAGATGTGTGGGATTCTTGAGTCCCTGCTGGACTAGGGAGCCTGACTTTCCATGGCGACTGACAAGTTGCTTGCAGCCTTGGCCTTCCGGGCACAGAGGACAAGACTGGAGCACCCACAGCCCTCCACCCTGGTCTGGCTAGGTGCCTTTGTCAGTACCACCTTCAGACTACAGCCCAGCCCTGGTGCCTGAGCTGTGGGTTTCCCTTTTACTTCACAACTCACCCAGGCTTCATGCCAGCCACCTGCTCTCATTCAGCCCCATCTCATTCAGACTGTGTGTGAGTCCATGTCCACAGCCTGTGGCTGTCAATAAGAAAGCTTGCTTCATGTCCCCAGGCCCTGCCAGCATCTACTCACCTGCCTCTCCCTTGATGCCTGGTGGGCCCTGAGGTCCTGGGAGACCTGTGTTGAGAGGGAGAGGTAATTCAGATCACCGTGTGGAGGGAACAGATAAAAGCCTACATGGCCAGGAGACAGAGACCATATCTGGGGTTCCATCACGTCCCGCATTTCCCTTGGCTCCCTTCTCTGCAGGTTGCCCAGGAAGGCCAAGGATGCCAGGCATACTTGGGGCTCCCCTTGGACCTGGAAGATATAGGGAAGAGGAGCATGATACCCATCTGCCAACCAATAAGGTAAGGTGAGGTGATCACACTACTCACGCAATAATTCACTCAACACACACCCTGAGCACTGAGCACAAGCTAACCTGAGTGGAAAGAACAAAAGAAAAGAAGACAAAACTCCTTCCTATAAGAAGCACCAAGCCAGTTAGGAGCCTGTGGCTCCTACCTGTAATTTTAGTGACTCAAGAGGCTGAGATCTCAGAACTGAAGTTCAAAACCAGCCCTGGCAGAGAAATCAGTGAGACTTTTATCTCCAATTAACCAGCAAAAGCCAGAAGTAGAGGTATGGCTCAAGTCGTAGAGCACCAGCCTTGAGTGAAAAAACCAAAAGATAATATGAGGCTCTGAGTTCAAGTCCCAGGACTGGCGCACACACACTCACACACACACACACACACACACACACACACACACACACACACACACACACACACACACACACACAGAGGCAAGGAAAGAAAATGTATCAGAAAGATGATGTCTTCTGAGGAAGTCTGAATCAGAAACCTGAGTTCCAATACTAACACTGCATGTTAGGGAGGTGATCTTGAGCCTCAGCTTCCACATCAGTAAGCTGGGATATCTGCCAACCAGGCAGGGCTGCCCTTCAAGCCCACCATGGAGACCTTCCATTAGAAACATGTGCCAAGAGCTCTGGATCAATGAGACCTGCAAGGTCCCATCTCCAAGGCCTCTTGTGCAAATGGAACTTTCCCAAGTGTCACATCATTCTGGGTAGGTGTGGGTGCACCATGCTGCAGGTTCCAGATCACTCAGTTACCACGTCTGTGAAATGGGAACAATAGCTCCATGTCAGTCTGCCAAGCACAGAGGGGTTCTCCACCCTCCATACCCTACCCTAGGCCTGTCTAGTCCTATCTAGCTTGGCCTTACATCCATTTCTGCTCCCTTGCTCTCAGGCTTTCGGCACTTCCTCCAGGAGCCTTTCCTGGCCTGGGGATGAGACTCTTCTACACGGTCTCGCAGAGGGCTCTGGCCGTACTGCAGTCACCAGGGTTGTAACCACATCCTGCCCTGCCTTAAACAGGAAGATCAGAGGGCCAGGGACTTGTTGGTTTTCAAGTCTGTATTTCCAGTGCTGAGGGTGGGGAACCTCCTCACAGAGCCTTCATTCAGTACATGGGGTTTTATTATTGTTTGCTTTGGTTTGGTTTGTTTTTGTAGGGTTCAAGGAAGTCCAGGACAGACAAGGGAGGGGAAGAGACAAATATGTTCCACAATTCACCTCTCTGCAGCTTGGCTGGGGTGGTGTCCAGTTCCTGCTCACCCCTGACTGTGTCTGGGTGAAAGTTCTTCCCACAGTTGCCCCTGTCCAAGGCAAACCAGGACTGGAGAGCTCCACAGTCAGCCCTCCTCTCATGCCCTCCTGTGCGTCTCCGGGAAGCATAGTCACAGAGCCTTTGAGGAGCTCTGACGAGGCTGGGCAAGCCATGAGGAATGGGAGAGACATAGCCTTCCCAGATGGGGCAGGGCAGGGTGCGGCTCCAGAAAGGCAAGTGACCCCTGGGGAGGAGCCCAGACTTCCTCAGCCCAAGCTCCCCACCCCTGCACCCCAACCCCTTGCATCTCTTGTGCTCCTGGCTCTAGTTTCTGGGAAAAGAGAACAAGAAGAGAGAAACTGAGACAGGAGAAGTTAGAGACTGAGACAAGGAGGAAGAGATAGAGATTCGATATACAAAGTTGAGCCTGTGCTTCTGCAAACTCTGATTTGAGGCAACCTTGGCTTGTAAATGCTCAGAAAAAGTGCCTGAGTATTGAATATGTACAGTCTCGTTTCTTGTCATTATTTCCTAAACAACACAGTGCAATAATAATTTACATAGCATTTACATTGTCTTAGATATTATAAGTCATCTAGGAGTGACTTAAAATATACCAGAGGATGTATATGATTTTTATGCAAATGGCATGCCATCTTATACAAGGAAGAGCATTTGTGTATTTCTGCATTCATGGAGGTCCTGGAGCCAGTCCCTAAGGACTACAGAAAGACTAGTATTCACAGAGAGATAAATACCATGCGGAGTCCTGCTCAGCACCCCAAAGACCAGGTCTGGGTCTGGATTGGAACACTGAGCCTTGGGCAGGTGATGGGGTAGAAATTTAAGATGAGATTAAACCCATTGAGTTGAGAGGAGACATTGATTTTGGCAACAGAAGCTGCTGGAACAGCCCCTCCTTACAGGAGAGGAGCTAATGCTACTTAATTATTCCAGTAACAACAGGATCACAACAATAGCAACAGTAAATAATCATAACAGCCCTACTGAGTGCTGGCTCTGTGATAGGTCCAGGGTTAAGCCTATTATATTTAGTGGGAACCAACCCTCCCAGCAGGATATACAGCGCAGAGACTTTAAGCAACTTGTTCAAGGTCACCTAGCTTATGAGAGACAGAGCCACGGTTTGTCCCTGGAGGGCCAGTCATCAAGTCCTTGCTCCCATCCTGTACAAAGCGGACTCAGAGTCCTGCCAGGCCACAAGGGCTATCCAGGCCATGAACATATAGAACATCAAGGGACCAAAGGGTTCTGTCCCAAGAGTGTCAGGAATATTTTATTCTTGTGGTGAAGTTTTTTTTTAAAATTTTATTTTATTTTATTTGTGAACATACTGTACAGAGGGGTTACAATTGCATGGGCAGGATAATGCATACATTTCTCACCAAGCATTGCAGCCTCCTCCTTTGTTTACCCTTCCCAGCCTCCCCCCTCCCCCCATCCCAATCCTTCTCCTTCCCCCCTCCCCCCCACCCCCTTCCCCTCCCCACCGACGTTGTAAAGCTCGTTTTGGACATGACAACTTGTACTTCTCATTGTTGCATCAGATCCACCTGTATCTTTAAACAACTGGTTTTTCCCCATCTCCTCCACAAGTTATACTGACATCAAATATAGTGAAAGCAGGGGTTATACTGTGGGGGAGGGACATACAAAGCAACAAAGAGATAATCTTATAAATGCGTTAAAAACACATGCATGAAAGAAAAAACATTAAAATACATATCTAAGGGTTCATTTTCCTGACATCACATTATCTGACCTTTTCCGCTTGACTCGTACATATACTAGATATTTGTGGTGAAGTTTTAACAGGGTTCTGAGGGAAGTGCACATGCATGTGTGTGTGCCTGTGTGTGACCCAGCACACCTGTGGGCTGAGGGAGGAAGATGGCCAACAGGCGGCAGACCTTTGCTAGAGAGCAGTTGTGAGGAGCTTGGGCACATCATTTTTTCTCCATCCTGTGATGTGAGCCTAACAATCACCATTATTTTCTACACAACCAAGTGAGTGACTGAAGTTCAGAGAAGTTAAACTACTGTCCCAAAGTCACATAGCTAGTAAGAATCAAGCCTGAGCTTAGATCTCAGATCAGCCTGACAGTGCAATCTATTTGTCTACAATCTCTTTCTCTCTCACACATACACACACATATATATATATATACCTATGTACATACACACACTTTCTCATCATTACCACCATCTGGGAGAGATGAGCCATGCACCCTGGGAAGAGAGAGCAGCACCCACAATTAGCACTGAAATTGTGGGAGATAAGGAAAAAGGTTCTTTCCTGAGAGCTGGGACATCTAGAACAGTGGGAGAGGAATGGTGCACTTGTAGTGGCCTGGGAAGATGAAGTTTAGATAGGCAGAGGAAGAAGGGAGACATTTCAGGCAGGAAGGAGGGCAGAGGCCTAGCACTTGGAATCAAAGTGTGGTTAGGAGGCCAAAGGGTGATCCAACCCAGGAGATCACTGAAAGGTGATCTGGAGCCTGGCTAAACAGGGTTTCAGAATGGCACAGCCCACAAAGCCCTGGAAGGAGGATTTGGGGAAGGAATAGAATGGATCAGAGAAAAAGTTGACCTACCTGGGGAGCCTCGTTCACCTTTGATCCGGAATAGCTCTGTTGAGGCAAGAAAAGAGAGTTGCAGGCTCAACTGTGGGACCCCTGCACCCTCAGACAGCTCCTGGGCTCTGCATTCAAAATCTGAGCACCCCTTCCAATATAGAGAGAAGAAGCTTTGGCCAGGCTAGGAGGTTTTGGACCACAGGAGCCAAACACTGAGTGTGTTAGGAGACAACCCTTAAGAAACCAGATGTTCACATATGACTAACAGTCTGCTCTCAGGAATGGAAGTTCCCCAGGCCCAAAGTTCAGATGTTCTGTGTACCTAGGGCATTGCCCTCCACCAACTGGAAGAGACTCCAGGAATTACAGAAGGAATAGAATCTGCCTGTTGGTCAAAATAGGTCCTCACTCCTCTAGGACAGGAGAGACATAGGTGGTGCTTGAGCCTGGCTCCATCCATCTGCCCACAGCTGTAGCCAGAGCTTGCATCCCAGCTCAGCCTTCCTCATTGCTCCCTGGAAAGGCTGCAGGCTCTGGGAACATTTGCCATCCAGAACCCTGTGTCTTAGATTTAGTCACAGGTTCACTCTCTCAAGCCCCCAGCTTGCTCAGACACAGGGCTAAAGCTCCCATTCGTGTCATGACCCTACTGCAGTCTGATTGTGCCTATGAGCTGGTTGGGCACACCTCAGCCAAGGGCAAAGCTGAGAGAAGACAGATGGCAATGTAAGGCCCTGCATGGACTGGTGTGGGCGGGGGGAGAATCTCCTCCATTTTCTCTTGCCTGCCACCTCACCACCTGGGCTGACACATTTTCCCCAACAGTCTGGATTATCGTCTCTCCCCCAAAGACCCCACATTGTGTGCTGGCACTGGGCCCTCAGTTGCTCTCCTTGCCCATATTGGACTTGTTCCTAGGAACCACCCAGCTTTGCATCCTATCCACCCTCCTAAATGGACTGGATCAGTCTGGGGTCTTTGTGACTCAGACCTGGCCTTGAGCAGGTTGCTCCAGCCCTAGCTTGTGGAGAACGTCTTAGTTTGGATAGGGCCATGGGTTCCTCAGTTCTTGACTCCACTGTTTCCCAGAATCCTGTTTGTAGCCTCTCCTGGGATCTTCAAAATCAAGCCCACCTCACGTGGCTCTCATCCCTGCCTGATTCCCAAGGCCTAGGTCCTGGAAGTTCAAATGAATCCTAACCAGATGAGTAAACCCCTCTTTCCTCAGGGCATCTCTGAGGAATCCCAAACCCCAGAGAGAGGAGACCAGACCTGGGTTGCGAGAGACGTTGGCCACCCACTGAAGCAGGTGCTCCTGGTTGGTGCGAAGCCAGGTGATCTGGGCTGGCATGGTGGGCAGACCCGATGGCCCTGTTGCCAGACGTGTTCTGGGGTACCCCGACTGCATTGAGAAGGATGGGTGTTGCTCCGTCATCCATGTTCCATTGGGGAAGTCCATCTCTAAGATCCGGATCCTCTCCTGCAGGTTCAGACCTGGACCCCACCCCACAATGCCCCTTTAGGGACCTCATTAAGGTTTGAGGTAGATCCCTAACATGCTAGTGTCACACATGCATGACTTCTGTAGGCCCTGAATTCATAAATACGAGCTCTGTGTGCAAGCTTTTCCTACACCACCTCCACACTCAGGCACAACACGACGCAGCCATAAAAGATTCCTGCCAGGCCTTCAGGTGTGCCCAACGCATCTGCCATCAATATCCTCTTCAAATAGACCTTCGTATTCGCTAGGAGTGAACAGGACAACAGTCTCATCGGAAGATATATTTAGATGTGACTTTGTTTTCCTGTTGTTCACGACAACAAGGCAAACAGTGTTCTTGGGTGACATCAGTGTCTGCTGATGGAATACCTCGGTAACTGACATATGAACTGGGAACTGTTTTTCGTAAAATCACATTCAGATGGTCACTTCAATCAATAAAGTCCTTAACCATCCAAAGGCTGAGAATTCTTTGCATCAGGTGTGAGTGGCAAACCTCACGTGAAATCATTGCATCTTTCACTCCTTTACATACATACATGCCCCTCCACACACATGCACGCACGCACGCACACACATCCTTTTTTTCCCTCCATTACTATGATGGAACTCAGCACTCTTCCAGAAGCAGGGCAGCAGTGTTCTCAAGACCTTCTGCTCAACTTGAGTGCTACATCTGAGGGGCCAGTTTGACTCCCCAGGAAAACCACATAGGTCCCAGATTCCTTTACCTAGGATCAGCAACAGCACAGCACCCACCGACAGCACAATCAGGTAGATGATCACCAGAACCATGAAGAACTTCCCTCCATTTCTCTTCTCGGGCAGTGAATCTGAAACACAAGCCAGGCAGGTGGTGGCTGATAAACATGTCTTAGAGAAGAGCCATGGCCTGGGTCAGGCCATGTCTATACCATCAAAGTCTCCCTGAGAGATTATATGGAAAAGACATCAATGTGAGTCTTCCCCATCCTCATTTCTGCCACAAGACAAAAAAAATACCATCAGCAAATAGACATCTGTGTAATTTGTCACCAACTGAACCCTGTTCACTGTTGAATGAACACCTGATTTATATAAGGGTCTCAATTGACATTTATGGACTGCATTAATGAATTCATGTGTTTAAGTTTCAAAGCTCTAAGGAGAGAGGTATTATCATTTACCCTTTTTTAAACCATGAACAAGGCTTGGAGAACAGACTATCTTATTAGGTTCTACCAGGTAAATCTGGAATTCATGTCTAGACTTTATTAATTTTTGGTGACAGTATTAGGGCTTGTACTCAGGGCCTGGGCATGTCTCTTGGCTTTGTTTGCTCAAGGCCAGCACTCTACTACTTGAGTCACACCTCCACATTTGGCTTTTTGGTCATTAATTGGAAATAAGAGTCTCACTGTCTGGGTTGGCTTTGAATGATGATCCTGAAATCTCAGTTTCCTAAGTAGCTAGGATTATAGGCATGGGCCACTGACACTGGCTTGTTTTGTTTTGACATACCACTTGATGCAGTATAGAGGGTGTGACAAAGCTTAACAGCCTTGTGGCTGCAACCTGCTGACATGAGTGGTGTTGGCCTTCTGGGGTGTGCTCTTTCGCATGTTCTGCTTACATGATCCCACAGAACCGTGGTATCCCCAGGGATTGGTTTCAGGACCTTGGGAGGCTATCAAAATTCAGAGATGAGCAACACTCATAAAAATGATACGGCAAATGCATTAAACCTAGGCACATCTTCTTGTTGACTTTGTCATCCTTAGACAGTTTGCAGTACCTGCAACCATGGAAACTATTATTATATTATGTTGCTGAGCGAATGACAAGGAAAATGTATGTACATGCTCAGGACAATCTTCTAGTGTTTCCAATCCTTCATTGAGTCCATGGATACTAGCTTTCAAATAGATTTATTTATTTTCCTTTTAGCTTTATGCACATGGTATCAAAATACCTGTAATACTGCACATTGTTCTTGGTAATGAAGAATTTTCATGGATATTCCCTCTAGTTTTCCTTGTAGAGAGAAATTGAACTATTCTTTTAAATAGCTGCCTAGTATTCCTTAGAGACAAAAATATTTTCCTTTTGATGAGCTGTTCCCAGTTTGGAGCATTACAGAAGAAGCTGTCATAAATCTTTTCTGGGGCTCTGAACTCCACCCTTCTGTCGGGTGCTGCCATTTTAGGGTTGTCAAGGGAAGGGGACCAGTCTACAGAGAGTCTTGAGGCTCTCACGGCTCATATTGACTGGGCACCTGCTTCATACCAGGCATTTATCAGTGTCATCTCAAACCCCACTGCTACCTTGTAAGGTTGGGGAAGGCATTCCCTTCTGCAGAGTGCTAGAGACTTGGGGAAAACAAAGTGACACTATGAGCAGGTAACCCAAGATCTGTAACCCCAAGATCTGCCTCACCAACCTGAACTGATCATTGCTTCTGGGGAAATTCCAGTTGAAATGAGCCCAAGGGCAGCTCTGAAGGGAAAGGGAGAATACATGTGGATAGACACTCTGTGTGTGTGTGTGTGTGTGTGTGTGTGTCCCTGCTTTTCCTTGGTTCTAGTGACTATTGGATAAATACGTAGGAATTGGGCCTTTTCTCAATCTCTTTGATAACCTGTAACCCCACTGCCTCCTTCCTAAAGAGCAGAGGTCTCTGCTCTTAGTGGTATAGGGTTAGCTCCAGCGTCACCCTGAGGAATGGTTTCAGATTGGTTGCTTTCTTAGTTAGTGGCAGTTTGTTACAGTTAATCTCACATGGAGAGTCCTCTGCCACTAAACCCGCAGAATACAGACCCACACAGCAGCCAGAGTAAGCTTCCTAATGTAATCCAGACACGTCTCCCCCATCTTTTGTCCTTCAGTGGATGCTCACTGTCTTCAGGCAAATAGCTCAGATTGGACACACAAAGCCACACTGGCCAGCTCTCCTGTGGGCACCCCTCTCCTGGACCTTAACTACCTCCATCATATCTGACACCACATTGTAACACTCCACTGACCTGAGGCAAGGTATATACTTCCCACTTTTTCCACAACACCTGTACCTTCCCATTCTTTGAGGGCAAGGCAGGAATTTTTCTGGACCTAGATACCATTTCTGGCTCCCCTGTGTTGGGAGGAATCCCTTCTGCTTCCCCATACCACTCTACTTCTCTGACCGCTGTACACTTTGGCTGTGCATATCTTGGTCTCCTACAATGGCCTGGAAGCTTCTCAGGCTGTATTTCAGCACCAGCCTGGTGGCTGCTCACAGGTGAGGACTGACTGGACAGATGAGTGAATGAATGATCATTCACCCTAGCAGAGGGCTAGAGGCTAACCACTGTGCAGGGTTCAATGCAGCATCTTTTGAAATGTTGCAAGGACATTAGAGGTACAGTTCAGAGTCTTGAGAGCCATGCAATCATTATGGTGAGGACAAGTGACTCACAGGGAAGCGTCATATGCACACAATACAGTCTCATGGCTAACACTTAACCTGATGAAACATAACACATCATGGGAATGGAAAGATGAACTGTGCTTCAGAGACACAAGGATTGTAGAGGTTGGTGAGGGGTTGGTGAGAATAATCATGGAGTATACAGATATCCTAACACCAGATGCCAGGAACATGGCCAGAGACATCTTAGTGAAGATAAAGTAAGGCAAAAGATTCTGGGGATGTCTACCCGAACCTGGGATGCTTTTATAATTCAGAGTTTTCACCTAGCCTACAGACAGCTATGACAGGAACTGGGAGATGGGATTGGAGGGAATATCTTACTTACTCTGTACAGAGTGGAGGATCTGGGCCTAGAAGTGTGATGAAACTGATAGAGCACCTACCTAGCAAGTGCAATGCTTTGATTTCAAAATCTAGTACCATCTGGGCTGGGAAGGTGGCTCAGTGGTACAGTGCTTGCTTCACACGCATGAGGCCCTGGGTTCGATTCCTCAGCACCACATAAGCAAAAAAAGTCAGAAGTGGCACTGTGGCTCAAGTGGTAGAGTGCTAGCCTTGAGCTGAAGAGCTGAGGGACAGCACCCAGGCCCAGAGTTCAGTCCCCACAACCAACAAAAAAAATAATAATCTAGTACTATCAAAACAAACAAAAATGGAGGGCCTGATGAAGTCTTTCCCCTCTCCACTACCATGCTACCTCTATGAGGGTAAAGGATACAATAAAGGAAATGCCAATTCTAAGTAGGGTCCTGAGGAAAAGATGAGAGAAGAGGGGACTGGGAATGTGGCTTAGTGGTAGAGTGCTTGCCTTGCATGCATGAAGCCCTGGGTTCAATTCCTCAGTACCACATAAACAGAAAAAAACAGAAGTGGTGCTGTGGCTCAGGTAGTAGAGTGCTAACCTTGAGCAAAAGAAGCTCAGGGACAGTGCCCAGGCTCTGAGTTCAAGCGCCAGGACTGACCAAAAAAAAAGAAAGAAAAAAAAAAGATGAGTGAAGGAGCAGAGCTTCCCATAGACCAGAAGGGGCTTCTCTGGACTAAACCAGGCAGGCTACACAGAGATTGTAGAGATTGGCAGCTCTGTAATCTGACTCACAATGAAGATGGGCTCTCGAGGAAAACAAAAGTGATCTTTCACTTCCATAAAATATATGCAATGGAATGCTATGCTTCCATCAGAAAGAACGATGTCACCCCATTTGTAAAGAAATGGGAAGACTTGGAAAATGAAGTGAAGTAAACCAGACCCAAATAAACATAGGCTCCATGGTGTCCCTCATTTGTAATAATTAGTATATATCTAGGATGGCCCTAGAGGGTCATAATAGCCCAATAGCTATTTTTATACAATCATATAAGATGATGCTAATTGAAATGATCTCCAAGATATGGAGAGAAGAGGATTCCATGTTGTTGTTAAATTTTATTGTCAAGGTGATGTACAGAGGAGTTACAGTTACATAAGTAAGGTAGTGATTGCATTTCTTGTCTAACTTGTTACCCTTTCCCTCATTTTTCTCCCTCTTTCCCTCTCCCCCCAAAACTCCCCCCACAAGTCGTACAGATCATTTCCAACACATTGTCTTGTGTTGTTTTTAATGTACTGTGTGAAGTTAAAAAATAAATAAATAAGATCACAATTAAGAAAGAGGGCTGCACCCCAACTTTAGTCTTTCCAGGCATGCCACCTCCCAGTGGCAGAAGAGTCTTGGTAGGAGCCACATACTGTGGACATGGAACCACCCACACCCAGCCCTGGGAACTTGGTGACAGACTCAGAGAAGTGGTGACCCCCTTGAAGGCTTGATAGGTCCCACCTTCCACCTTCTATCCTGGTCAGCACCAGCAGGGGGTGAGCTATAGCTCCAGTGATACTGTGAGTAAAGCAAATCAGAGTAATATCAATAGTGTTCCAGGGACTAGGTGACCTACAAAAGCAAATCAGAACCTACATAACAAACCTAAACTAGTAAATCTAAATGGAATTCAAAGTCTCCTAACATACTATGCAAAATATCTACCATACAATCGTATGCTAGAGAACTGAGAAAATCACAACCAACAATGGGGAAAATCACACCAGGAATCAGGAATTCTTGTCTAACAAGAATTTTAAAGCAACCATAATGCCAATGCTTTAATGAACAATTATAAATACTCTTGATACAAAAAAGATTCACCAAAGGAATAGAAGATAGAAGATAGAAGAAAAATTACTGAATTGAAACTGTAGAATTAGAATAAAAGCCTCAAAATGTTTAAAGTTCACCGAACAAGTGGAATAGTGTAACAAGTGTGTCAGAGGAAACAACCAATGATCTCAATAAGAGAAAAACAGAAAATACTTGATCTAAAAAATCAGAAAATTAACCAAAAAATCATGAA